CTAAATAAAGAGCATTTTAATTATTTTATAAAAAGAAAAAGAAAATTAAATAAATATAAAGAATTATAAACTATTAATATTAATATAATATTTAATAAAAGCCTTAATAATAATATTAAATATATATTAATTAATATTTTTATTAAAAAAAATAATAAATAATAATATAAAACTTATATAATTAATAATTAAAAAGTATAAAGGATTAAAATTTAACTATACTTTTTTAATATTATTTTTAAATTAAAAAAAAGTATATAATAAAGTAAGCTATAAATACTTATAAAGTATATTAAAAAGGATAAATATCCTTATTAAATTTATAAAATAGGTTAAAATATTATATAAAGGTGTTAGAATAAAACCCTTTATTAATAAATACCTAGGAAAAACTATAAAAGTTAAATCTAAAGTTAAATAAAAAGATCCTTTAAGTTACCCCCTATTTATAATTATAATAAAAGGTTTAATAAGCTTTATAATTAAAAATAGAATTATTAAGGAAATATATATTAAAAATAATAAAGTTAAACTTATAATATATATAAACGATATTTAAATTAACCTATAAATATAAAAAGACCTAAATTAAGTTAAACAATTCTTAAACATTTATTATAAAGCTAATAGGGCTAAAATAAATTGGAATAAGTTCTATATTTTAATAATTATAAAGCAGCTATTATATATAATAAACTTAAATATATAAAAAGTAATATTAAATAACTTATATTAATACTTAAGCATATTAATAGGTATAAATATAAAGGATTAATTAAAAAAGTTTTAAATAAATATAATAAAAAGCTTTTTAAATATAGCAGTAAAATAGCTTAATTATTACCTTTTATTTAAAGGTAAAACAATAATAACTAATACCTTAATAATATTACTATTAAAATATATAATAAAATTTTTAAAAATGCTTATAATAGTTAAAAAATAATTAAAAAAGGAATATTTTAAATTAATATAGGATAATAAGGTTAAAAAGGACTTAAAAATAGCAAATCTATATATATATATAAAGAAGAAAAATAATAAAATTAAATATTAAAATATAAAAACTATTATTAAAGCTTTTATAATATTTATAGCTTTAAAAGTATAAAAAAAACTTATATTATTATAAATAATCCTATTAATTAAACAATTAGTTAAATCTTTAAAGGTATAAATATTATAAAAAGATATAATTATTAACCTTTAAATATAATAGCTAAATTAAAAAAATAAATTATTAAATATAATTATATAAATTTAAAAGGTATAAATAAACTATATAAATTATTATATAAATAATTAAATATATTTAAAGGAATTAAAAATATTAAATAAAATATTAAACATTCCTTTATATTATTATTTAAAATTAAAAATAATAGTTAATTAAAGCTTAAAACTATAAAATAATAAAATATAATCCTAATTTAAAAATAAAGGAATAATTTAAATTAAAAATATATAAAATTTAAATATAAAAACCCTTAAAATATTTATAAAAATATTAAATACTTTAAAATATAAAATAAAAAGGTTAATAGAATTATTTATAAAATAACTTTTAAAAGATTAAATATAAATATTATAAAACATTATATAACGAATATAAATAAATTAAAAGGAAAGTAAAATAAGCCCTAAATAAATATAATACTATTTAATAATAATATAAATAAAAAAAGGAAATAAAAAAATCACCTAATAGGGTTTTAAAAGATTATATATTAAAATATTATAAAAAAAATTAAAAAGTATAAATTTTAATAAAAAAATAATTAAAATAAGTAAAGTAATCTTTAAAATTATAGGTATAAAATTTATATTAAAAAAAATATAGAAAAAAGCTAAAAAGAACTTTTATAAATATAAAATAATTAATTTAATATAAAGATTATTATATAAAATAATAAAAATAGGATTATAATTAACCTAAATACCTAATATAATATAAAAATACTTAATTAATAAATAAAATATAATTAAATAATATATTTAAATAAAATATATAATAATATAATATATTTAAAATAAAATAAAAGATATTTAAAATTACTTATAAAAAATAATAATAATAATAAACCTATATTTAATTAAAGGTAAATTAGGTAAACTATTTAAATTAAATAATAAAGCTAAACTATAAGTAATATTATTAATAAGCTTATATATTAATTTATTATATAAAAGATAAATATTAATAATATATAGTTTAATATAAAACTTATAAAAAGTATACTTATTATATTCCTTTTAAAAAATATATAAATATTAAGAAATATAATAAATAATTTAATTTTATAAAAATATAATAAAGGGAATAATTATAAAGGATAAAGTAATATTAATAAATAAAATATATAAGTTTAATATAATAAACCTTAAAATATATAAAAAAATTTAAGGATAAAAAGTATAAAATATAAAATTAATATAAGGATTATAATATATAATTAAACTATTAATTAAAGCTTTATTTAAATAAATAAAGCATAAAAAATTAATATAGGAAAAGAAAAAGAAAAAACTATACTATTTAATAAAAAGGAGGTAAAGGAAAAGAAATAAATAGGAAGTAATAAAGCTAGCCTTAAAATAATAATATAAAAAACCAAAAGTAACCATTATAATAAAATGCCTTTTTTAAAAAATATACCTTTTATTTATTTAATATTATTATAAAATAGCCCATTTTCTTTATCCTTAATTATCCTTTATATACTATTTTAAATTAAAGGCCTTAATTAAAAACCCTTAAAAATAAAATGGACAACATAGCCCTTAAACTTTTACCGAACTTTTTACCCCTACTATATAAAAAATACAGACCTACCCATATATTAAGCCCCTTTAAGAATAACTAGGCCTAAAGCCCTAAAGAACTAAATAATAAATAATTAAACAAAAATGAAAACTATAATATAAGCATAAATAAAAACACCTTAAATAATAAAAATAAAGGAAAAAAGGATAATAAAAATCTAATTATAATAAATAATAAGGAAATGGAAAATTTAATAAAAATAAACAACCTAATAAATAATAAGCTTATTAATAATGGATAAAAAGATATATAAAAGGGCAAAATATTAAAAATCCCCTTAAAACTAATCCTAAAGATTAAAATAATAAAAGAATAAATATTTTAAATAAATATAAATAACTATATATAAAAATATTTAATATAAAAGTAAAAGGACCTATATAATAATAAATATATAAACTTAAAATATAAAGAATTATATATAAAAACCTTAAATAAATAAAAGGAAATTATATATAATAACCTTATAAAAAAACATTAAATAAATAAAGCTATAATTAAATATAAAGCAATAAGTAAAATATTTTTATAAATAAAAATATAAAAACTTATAAAACTAATTATAATAATCCATTTTTAATTATCTTTTAAAAAGGTTTTTAAATAATATATATTATTTAAACATTTATTAAATTAAATAATAATTTAATAAATATATAAATATAAGGTTAAATAACTTTTAAAAAGATTAACCTTTATATTAAAAAAATAAATAATAACGGTAATTATAATTAAATAAATAAGGTAAATAATAATAAATATTAATATATATATTAACTTTTATTACTTATATATTAAAGATTAAAAAAAACTATTTAAAAGAATAATTAAATAATTATTAATTAAATTAATTATAAAAGTAGCCTTAATAATAAACTATAAAAAGTTAAAATTATAATAAATTAATTAATATAAAAGGAAATTTAAAAAATTATATAAAAGGAATAAAGCTAATATATAAAAGGTTGGATTAATAAATTAAAAAGATATAAGAATATAATAATATAAAACATTAATAAGGTAATAAAAATAAAAAAAAATATAAATAAAATAAATAAGTAATAACTTAAAATAAAAAAAATAAAGGATATAATAAATTAAAGCATCTTAATACTATAAAAAGGTATATTAAAAGTATTACTATAATCTTATAATAAATAGCAGACTTAGGTAGACCTAACCCTAAACCCGGGTAACTATAACCATTATAACGTAAGTTCGAACCCTACCTTCTCTTGGGCGTAAAAGGTGCAGCTACAGTCAGTCATACATTAATAGTTGAGTCCATAATAATAAAACTAAAGTATTCGAGAAATCATCAAGTAACGCGACATAGGCAAAGTCGTATCTACTTCGGCCGGTCTGGAAATCAGCATCACGAGTCATATACCTAAAATGTTAGAGTCCTTGCTTATCCTACTGCTAGCTACATGCTGAATATACCAGCCCTCAAATCAAATTCATCAGATATCTGCAATACGAGGGTCGTGCGGCTAGATTGCACATACAATACAAACGTACAAGTTTTCAGCGCATGCGACATGGGAACATTTAAATATATCCCTTTGTGATTCGTCTAAGTGCCGGTAGCCTACCCAGTCAACAACTAGCGAGGTAGCTTGAAGTACAGTCCTAAATTTTGCTAGTGAGTAGGTAGCGCGTCGAACTCGGCTGGATAGGGACGCTAGACCATACCCGGAAGAAGATGGTTTCAACGACAGACTTACTACCTATCTTCTAGACCTGATAGTGTTTAACGCTATAGGGCCTATTTAACTAGGCCGAGCTTCTGTAAGGGTCGCTATTTTATATATATAGGCTTTAGATATTAATTTTTACGTTTTTAATATAGGTAAGTTATAACTTTGTGTTTACTTTATTTAGGACTTTTATACTTTATATGTTTAAATATAACTGTTTTGAAGACCGTTTCTCTTTCACGGGCAGCTCCGCAGTCACCTGACTGATAACTGGCTGAGCCGAGCCTGAGAAAAAACGGCATGTGCGCTAAGCCTAGTTCGCTGCATACTTGGCATTTGGATACATCATGTACCTTGCCATGTGTTGCGGTATGCTCTCACTACCTGATAGACCATCGCAGGTACTTTCAAGTTTCGGCAGTGTACCCCAAACTGTTGCATCACTCTCCCCCCATCAGTCATCGGGCCCCCCCCACTTCCCCTTCCCCACCACATCGTCAATGTAACTCCAGCTCGACACATCTGTTCAAGAACCCTTAGGTCTGCTTTCGTCCAACCACAGCCCTCGATCAACACACGTCCCTCACACAGCGACACCTACAGGATCAAAACCTATAGCATCATTCCCTATCCACGGCCAACCTGCCTGTCCATCCCCTCCCTCTCGACTCCATGACTGACTCCGTGCTTGACTCCATCGTCGGGCCTGTCTACTCTTCCCGCCACTAGTCACGCAACCTCTTCCCTCGAACCTCTCGTGCTGTGCGCCTGTTAGTTGATCACATGTTGCAACCACAGCTGCCTGCTCTCTGGTCTGCTTCATAATTCGCCCGCCCTACCTGCTACGGTAAACCGATCGTTAAACCGATCACCGCCCGCCGCAGACGAGTCCCCTTTTGGACTACCTACTTTAGGGTTCTCAGTCAAAAAGTATCCAGAGAAACTGTCGGATAAAAAAGAGAGATTGGCCCTTTCGACTAACCTAACGCTTTATCCTTGAAGGTAACCTACCTATTATCTTTCATCTATTTCTTTCTTTCATCCTTCCGCTGTGTCGGTAGCTTTCGAGTCCTCTGGCCACTCTGATCGCTAACATGCACACAATTATCCACAGAGTAGCCGAAGCATTACGGCGAATTGCTTTTCGCAACGATATTCAGCACTACCCTATACATACCTTTGCCGAGATGGCTGTTTCTAGTCACCCAGCTTCAATACCACCCGGCAAATCGGACGGCACTCAGACCGACGATGAAGCTCCTCTTACGCCAGATGACACCACTGGCCAGTCGCCGACATCCTCACCCGCTCAGCACGCTGTCTGCGACACGCCTACGCTCGGTGATGCATCCAGGCACTCCCCGCCGTTATCGCGTTCCCACTCTTTCTCTGGTAGTAGTAGCTCGTACCACGAGGATTGGGACTCATTTCCTCCACTGGATCGTCTCACTGTGCTTGACCTCCTCGATAACTTTGCTCTGACGCAACAGCTGGAGAAGTTACAGAGGGGCATCTCTGCGCAGACGGAGAAAGTCCGAAAGTCGCGGGCTGCTCTGAAGTCCAAGGGCCAGGTGGCTCGGGAGCGCATGGTGGAGGAATGGCGACGACGGGTGCCCTCGGCTGACGAACAGCTTGAAAGGTATAGGAAACGTATGAAAGTGAGCGTCGAGAAGCTTGGCAGGCAGTGGAACGACACCAAGGTCATTACCCTTCGTGAAAAAGTGTCTTTCATCTGTGGCGTCATGAACATCTTCATCAGCGGCTACCTGATCGGCGCTTATCCCGAATGGTTCCACATATGGTACTCGATCCAATTTCTCTATTTCATGCCCATTCGATACTACACCTACCATCGGCGTGGCTACCACTACTTCCTAGCTGACCTATGTTATTTTGTCAACTTCCTGCTGTTCGCAAGTCTCTGGCTCTTCCCCTCCTCTAAGCGCCTTTTCATCGCTGCGTATTGTCTTGCATTTGGCAACAATGCTGTCGCTATTATCATGTGGCGTAATTCGCTAGTGTTCCACGACTTTGACAAGGTCACGTCCTTGTTCATTCATATCATGCCGTGCGCAACGCTCCATTGCATCGTCCACCTAATTTCATCCGAAGAGCAGCGTCATCGCTTTCCTGCGCTGTGGACAGTCAAAACGTCGCCGCCGGGCTCCCCCACAGCTTACAGCAACGTCATCTCCATGATCCTATGGTCTACCATACCTTACGCCGTCTGGCAGCTAAGCTATTACGTCTTCATTACCGTCCGCCGCCGCGAGAAGATCGCGGCCGGTCGACCTACCTCTTTCACGTGGCTACGGCGCTCATACTCCAAGGTGTGGATCGGGAAAATCGTGCTTTCGCTGCCCGAGGGTCTGCAGGAGCCTGCGTTTATGATGATTCAGTATCTGTACGCAGTTCTCACTATGCTACCGTGTTCGTTGTGGTTCTACAGCCGATGGGCGTCTGCCGGCTTCCTTATGGTTGTCTTCACGTGGAGTATTTACAATGGCTCAACCTACTATATCGATGTTTTTGGGAAGCGATTCCAGAAAGAGCTCGAGGCGATGAAGGCCGAGGTCGCAAAATGGCAATCCAGCCCCGACCTCATGCTTCACTCACCAGTCTTGACGCCAACAGGAGGGCTCGAAGATGAGTCAAAACAAATTGCTGGTAATGCTCCTTTGCATAGTGGGAGCGTGGATAAGCCTCTCCGTGTTGAGGACCCGGCGAGTGGCAGACGCCTGTCCGTAGATCAGATTCCACTGTTAAACGACGAGCAATCAGCCGACATCCCGAAACATTCCAAGACAACAGCTACGACTACCGGGGTAGATGGTGGCCAGGATGTAGCGCGTGAACGAAGAGCAGGTAATAGCATGTAGTCAACCATCTACATCTCTTTCTGAACAAGAAAAAGGAAGGCTTTGTCTAACAAATATCGCGAAGATAATAGCCTTACCATGTCTACATTTCCCTAAAAGGAAATAGACGCGGCTCTAAACCACAGCGTTTGACAGCTCCGTGCTGGCTTGGCATCAGATGGTTTGTGATGGATCCAATCTTTACCCTCTGAAATTGAAGGGACAATGAATGGATTTCAAATTTTGGTTCGGTTTGGTTTTGGTGGTGATGTCCTGGGTCTGGACAAATCTTCGATACCCCTTGTCGTCTTTTCTCTCTCCTTATTATATGCCTAGTTTTCCCAATTCCAACAAACAGTCGATTATAGAACAATAGCACAGCACGGCGTCTCGGATACGCCACTTGGCTTCTTTTATTTCTCCATGTAAGACGTTTCTGTTTGTTTTCAGCAAAGCGAGCTTGTGAGGCGGAGAGCGCTGCTATTCGATTCTACAGAAGGGTCATATCAATAGTTGTATTAGTGTCTAATTGTGTGAAGTGAAGGGTTCTATAGAAATGAATTATTAATACTTGAAAAGCGCAAGTACCATCTGTTTATATATGAACGGCGCATTACATGCCTTTTACTCGTCGTGAACGTAAATCAAAAGTATATATTATTAATTGTCAAGTTATATGCCCCATGGCAATACGTTCACTTGATTACTAACTTGATTGATATCTTGCATCATGAAAACCAAATCTTTCTGATTTACTTGCAGAAAGCTCATTAATTACATACGCGTAAATAGGGGTCCATCTTCAACCCCCGCGATACGTAAAGTCGTCGTCCGTCCCACGCAGTAGTAGATATGGATGTACATGTATGTATGTATGTATGTTTCGCGCGGTGAAAACTCATCGCAAACATATCCGATCCTTGACTGCCAGCAGGTATGCCGTATGATTTTCCCGCTTTCGCCGTAAGATCGTGGCACCTCTTGTCACGTTCCACGCGAGTATTTTTTTTTTCCGAGATAAGCCATGCTCTACAGTTTCAACAAAACCATTGGTATCTATAGCAGACGCAAACAGAATACGCCCCTACGCCTTTTGTACAAGGTATCTAAGACCTGTGTTACCGCAGAAAACGCCCCGCCAATGCAACCAGCCGTATGGGTATACCGTCCACAGATATCGTTAAGGTTCGTGATCTTCAGGTTTTGGATTTTGCTGTTAAATAGGAAGAGTTGTCGTCAATATAAGATGGGCGGACTCAAATGTTGCCAAGCCTGAGCTGTGGAACCGTGAATTTGGGATCATCGAATGACGGCCCAGTCTGCCAAACGTCCACCGCCGCCATCACTTCCTTCCCTCTGGCCCGGGCGACGACCGAACACCGTCCAAAACCTTAATGTTTCGTCTCCAGCACCTGTGACAACAGTCCGGCCATCTGGACTCATGGCCAGGTACAACACTCGATATGTGTGGCCGGTGAGACTTACAACCTGAGTCATGGATGGGTATTTCCAAACAACGATCTGATTCTGGCTATAACCGTGTGTTGACACAATCTCATTTGAGTTCTTGGACCATGAGATGTTACACACTTGACTCCCGGTATCAACCTCGTTGATGACAGATCCTCTCACAGTGTCGTGGAAAATGATTCTGCGGTCAGCTGTTCCGCCACCTGAGGCGAGCAGACCGCGTTGGTGTGGTGACCAGGCGATGGCCTTGACTGCGGCGGTGTGGTCCGAAAACTTCCAAGTCGGCGTTTCTGAAAGCTTGTCCCAAACCATGAGCTTATTGTCATTGCCTCCACTGGCGAGTTGCCCGTCTTCGCTGTTCCACTTGAGGCCGCAAACCTCCTGTTTGTGGCCTACTAATTTTCGCATCCACTGATCTGGGGCTCTGACATCGCGATGGTAAATAAGTCGGTCTCGTGACCCAGACGTTAAGATGTGGGTGTTCCATGCTAATGAGCCTACGCGAGCTGTATGGCCTGTCATTGTTCTCAGCCGTCTCGTCTTTTCGGCATCCCAAATCTGAACCATTCCTTTCCCAGTACCAATGGCGATATGCGTGCCTTTTTGTATCCAAGATACGCTGGTGACGATATCATCTTCGAGTGTGCATAGCTTATTAACACGACTCGATTGCGCGTTCCACATGTATACACTTGATCCCAGGCCAACACCTAGGACATTGGCGCTTCCCCAGTCGACCAAATTTAGATAGAAGTCATCTGCAAGCTCGGGTGCATCAAGAACTTTGAACGGAACTTTGCTGACGGCTCGAGGTTGTCGCCGAGGACTCAAGAGCATTTGTTGACTGGAATAGCGAACAGGTGATAAACTATAGAGATCTGATGTTGTATCGAGGTTTGGTCCATGTCTACTCTGTGGAGTTCTAGAGGGTGTGGGATGACCGGCTGCGTGATAACGCGTGCCATATGTGAAGAGGTTTTTATTAGGAGTGGATGGCGTGATGGTGGAAGGAAGGGTAGGGGCTGCATTGTTTGGTGGGGTATGTGACCTCGTGGGATCATGAACGCGGGTTGAATAGGACCCAAGGAAGTTAGCATTAGGTGACAGGGTTGGAGTGACCTGTGGTACTGTGTTTTCAAACATTTCAGACCTTAAGAGATTTGTATATCTGTCGTTGGCCTCCTCAGCTACCTATGGTCAGCGCCAGTCATAGTGCAGGAAAACGTTCAACCTTACTTTTCTGAAAGTGAAGCTCACCGTGTGGCGTAGGCTTCTTGCGCGATGGGCTGGCAGGAGAACCTTCCAGAAGAGAATAGCTAGCTGAGAGGTCTTGCCCAGACCGAGACGGTATAAATCTACAAAAAAGGGTCAGTAAATCATCGAAGCACCACAAAACAGCAACGGGAATCTGGGGAGACAATGAGCATAAAGAAGTGCACGAAGACTAACCTATCGACATTTCGATCAGGCTGGTCAAGCCGTCGCTTCTTCCGGCCAGGGCTCGCAGCCGGAGCGCTGTCCCGTCTGCTGTCGGCAGACAGCTCTCTTGAAAGCGCTCGAGAAAGATACTCTGGGTCGAAGGCGCCAGTGCTCGCCCTCACCGAAGAACGCCCACTACGACGGCCGCCTTTCGAACTGGTGTTTTCCAACGTTTGGCGTGCCTGTAGGCGGTGGCGGTCGACTGGCGGGGGCGTTGATCTCCTCGAGGGACTGCGCGCGAGAGGACTGTTGCTATCGGCTGCGGGTCGCTTCAACGGCAGCGGCAGCGGTGCAGGTGCAGATTGTGGCGCTAACGTCATGATTGAGAATTGCGACTGTCTGGCAGACACGTCTATCTGTGTATGGAAGAAAGGCTGAGTAGGGGAGGGAAAGTGTGAGGTGACTAGTAGATACGACGCCGCAAACGGCTGATCTACTTGTCGTCGAAGCTCGCAAGGGGAAGCAGTCTCTCTCTATCGCATACCCTGCAGCGGTCGAGCTGGCAAACCGAAGGTTGCGCGATGAGGACTAAATGATTCGGCCGTGGAGTTCTGGAAGAGCCAAAGCAACAGTAGCAGGTGGTAAGAGGCAGCTCGTGTGGCGGTAGTCAGGGCCTGTTGTCGGGGTCTACGACTGCAATCGGCAATGGTTCTAGAAGATGGTAGACAAAGAGAAGCGAATTAGCTCCAGACGACGGCGGCGACGACGATGACGTGGTTGTTGTTAATGTTGATCTGATTGACACTGCCGTGATAATGGTGGTAGTAGTGGCGGTGGTGGTGGTGGTGGTTGTGATTGTTGTTGTCGTGAGTATGGCGGTTGTTGTTTTTGGTTTGTTGTTGTTGTTGGAGTTGTTGGAGTGGGAAGCGGGAGTGAACGATGGTGGTTAGTGCGGCGGAGGCGAGAGGTTAGGTAGGTAGTGAGAGCAGTGGGCGAGTGACAGGTGGTAGCGGCAGAGATTAGATGAGGTTGGAAGGGCGGCGATGGCGGCTGGACGTGGGAGACTTGTTCTGATTGGGGGGATTGGGGGGATTGGGGGGGGGGGGGGGGGGGGATGAACCAGAGTGGGCCCTAAGCTCTGGGCTCTGGGCTCTTTTGGGGGGGTTTGTTGCTGTCTCTATCCCTGGACCAGACTGGACGTGGACCCTGACGCATACACCCCGACGCCCTGACGCGTTGCTGCTAGTGGAGGGAATAGTGGAGGTGCTTAGTCCAAACATTAGGTACCTTAAGGTTCCAAATTCACGACATTGAATGTCCGATATAGATAATTGATTACATACATACAATATTGAATGTGTAAATGCAGTTGTGAGTATGGGGTAATTCCATGATAAATACAAATGCTAGAAAACAACAGAACACTCTGTTTTACGAGCAGTGTTTTTTTACCATTGTAGATAACCCAAGTGACGGCAGGTCATGTCTGTTGTCGTGACATCTGCAGGTACATTCTAAACGCGATCCAAACACCAGCCCAACCTTACATCGTCCTAGGTACCTACCTCTACAATGGACACTCCTAACAGTACGTTCATCAGGTGAAAAAGCCTTGGTCTTTGGTGCTTTACTTGAGCGAAAAGTGTTCACATAAGTATGGCCTTGATCGCTCGTCCACGCGATACAATACTTATTGCTACACTGTGAAAGTTATTACCATCATCATCATTCTTGGACTACCTACACTACGTAGTACTAGTACACTACCTACTTACATGGCTCCGTGTTTCCCGGCGGCTGGGCACCCGTTTTGAAACATGTTTCCCTCAAGAATGAAATCAACTCACGACACTCAAAACAATAGTATTATGTTTGTCCCATTACCGTGTTGTTGTTTCTACCAACCTTGGAAGTCTGTATAACAAGTCTGTACCAAGGTAGTTTCTTGGGAAGTTGGGTAGTTCCTCGAGGTGGCCTCACATCGCCCAAGTGGGCACCGTGGTCTTGTCTAACGTGACATGGCGAGAACAGCTAGCAACAACAATAACAAAACAATAACACACTGACGTTCTGGCGTTCGACAGCCTATGAGCGCTGCGAGCCTGCGAGTCTACAGCACTGTAAGGGAGGGACTGGCTTCCGCGGGCCGCTGGCTGCGTGGCCGTGAATTCGGCCCCAATTCGCGCACCCCGGGGCCTGGCCTGCAAGGCAGGATCAAAACAGACACAAGCCATTGTCGACGACGCTACCTAGGTAGGTACTATAGAAGGGCGAAAGGGGGAGCGGCAACGGGAACGGCAACGGAAATGGGAATAGAAATGGGAATGGGGTAAGGGTCTAGGTAGGAAAACAATACCTACCTACCTACCTACCTCGCCTACCTGCTTACCTACTACTGCTGTTACTGCTAGGTACTACTACTATAAATGCAAACGCGACACTCTCGTGCAACCGACAGACAGACAGACCGTTGAGAGACGCACTCGTGCGGGTCGATCAGAGACAGTCCAGTCTTACCGTACTCTTGCTCGCCTTTTCTCGGTACCGCACAACCCTGTCGCCTCCATCGGTGAGCCACCTGTGTATGGTCTTGGGTTCCTCTGTCAGACTCTGTCCAGCCCTGTCTGTCTTGTTGTGTCTTGGTCTGTCTTGGGTACCTGCGCGTGCTGTCGGGTTGTTTATTTTCCTACCCCGATTTTGACAGAGACGCGCCAGGCAATTCTCCGACTGGCTGCTGCGTCCCTGCGAAGAAGCGGTCGGCGTTTGGGTCGTTCACCAGGCCTCGACATGATAGGCCAGGACACTTCGGTGCGCGTCAGTCGCTCTTGGCGCAACCTAACGAGAACGTGGGTCACAGGCACCATCACCATTTGCAATTCCTGGTTCACCCTCCCGCCTGCTTCCGAACTACGGACCTACTTACACTGGTTGACACCATTCAGTGCATACTTACTTACATTGGCCCCCATCAGATCTCTGTGACCTGCTGGGGCGCTTCCAGATGCAAGAAGCTGCTAGATCACTCGCAGGAGTCTTAGCACACATATACGATGACAGTTGGTACTATCCAGGACTCCCTTGTGAGCTTTCTCATCCCTCCAGCTTGGTCGTCTACGCACGTAGTTTACACTGCACAGATGAGCAGGGAGTTTCATCTCTGCCGCCCATGCCGGTACATCGTATAGACCTCCAGATCAGCTGCAAGCTACCAGCAGTGTGAACCCTGAACTAGGTAGACGTATTCATGCACGCAAGAGTCCATTCGACTGCCTAACCTACCCTCCTAAGGACATCCCTGGTAAGCCTCAATAACTCTTAATATCTACTCCCCAAGCCCGAGCTTCATGTAGACAAGATTATTGCCAGTTGACTTCGATGTCTGTTTGTAAAGACTTTGTTCCTCTTTCTTGTAGCGAAGCTTAAGTCATCTTAGGCCCAACAGAATTCCCGATCTGGCGACTTATACTCCGTATGTGCGAACAAAATCTTAAGTGAGTATAGGTAGAATGCATGTCTCATCTGCTTTAATAATACAGCAGATCGCGAGATATTTCCTAACAAGGCCGACACTGCTTCCGAACGTTCGGTCCGAATTAAGCAGTGCAATTTCCATCAATGTCACGGGAGAAGCCAGTAATTGTACGGGTCTAAGAACCTACCCAGAAGCGCCCTCATAAGTGTTCTCGTATTATCAAAAACCTTAACACCGCTTACGCAATCCTTCAGCGCATTACGACTTGAAATTTACCTACAAGACTCGATCCACATAGGATCAGGCATACAAGTTTTCTTCTTGTTTAAGCCTTGCTGCTTAGTCAATTCTTCTGCATATGATATGCAGCATCATCTTGACCGAGAGGAAATTTTTGGGAGAAATCATGGCCGTTGGTCAAGGCATATCATTTGTAACATACCCTTGGCCACGGATGAGCTACCAGGCTGGCTTGATAGTTTGTAAACCACGTAGCTGTACTCGAACGCTCGGGTTCAACCATCTTGCAGAACGCCTAAACTAAATATCATTATGCAAACCTCCTAATAGCTCGTCTGACAATCGGCGATACGATAGCATCAATTGACCCCAGTCGTCTTTCGTATTGCTATTTCCCCTCTCTTCCGTGGGCCGCTTCAAGAGTTGTACCAATTTCGGGCTACGAAGAATACTCCTTTCAGTCAATTCAATTCGGGGACAGGAAAAGTAGACGGCTGAATAGCAGTAAGTCTTGGAAATACAACCACTGGTCGGCAAAGAAGAGACGACGCAAGCAACTGCTTACCAATGCACACAGTGACTGGGAAGAACAACGTGGAAGATGCTGTACCAAAGGTATCGGATTTGCTTCGGCTAGAGCAGAAACGTCACTCAGTAGTTCAAAGCAGTCCGGGGACACTTGGCCTGGTATGTAAGTCTACTACAGTAACCTCTAGTCAAGAAGACGGAGGGAAAGCCAAGGTTCCCATCTTGGGCCTCGTTCATGCAACGAAGTCGAGAAGTCTTTCACAGCCGCCTTCAATCGAAGATGGCCCACAGAGAAGGTGTGTGGCAAAACTCCGATTTCATAGCTTATGATATCTAACGTGGTTAGGCATAGTTGTTATGAAAATCATAAAGAGACCTCTTCGGTGGCAGCTCGATGGGTAAGTTGTCAGGCGGGCTTCGTGGGCACCCTAGATGAGGCCGTGTCATCGCCCAGAACCCAGCCGACTCGATCGACACGTTCGCTGGCGAACTCCGCTGCTTCAATCGGGACGACACCTAGCGATCACCTACCTGCACTTCAGAGTTTGAGCTCAACGGACAATGATGGGCTTAAGCCACTAGGTACAGAAGAAATCGACCCAACATGTTTTGATCTAGTAGCACCACCGGAAGCGCCTCGACATCAGTCCTCCATTGAAACTAGTTCAGAGCTGCTCATGTCCGCTGAACATCTAAAGATCATCTTCGAAGATCCAAAGCAAATGCAGAAATTCACCCAGTTTCTCTACACTCGGAAACCAGAATCGGTTCCACTCCTAAACCATTACTTGAACTTGGTTAAAGCGTTAAAGGCAATTGATTATTCTAATGCCATCATAAGAGAGTTGGCTCCAATCAACAGAGCGCCGTCGATCGAGCTGCCCCTCATCAAAACCATCAGCAAGTTGTTGATGGGTAAAGCCAATGAAACGTTTATGGTTCTTGTACAAGAGGAGCTACCCGCTTATGTTACTCATGTATGGGCTCGGATTGTGAAGTCGACGATTAAACAGCGAGTCAAAAGCACTTTGCCACCTTTATTACTCGAGCTATCGGAGGGACTTGCTGAGGTTTTTTGCTTGACAGATCCATCCAGGGACGACCATCCGATAATATTTGCCAGCGAAGGTACTATTACCACCATTCATTTGGCCCTGGCAACGCTAACACATGGTACCAGCGTTTCATAAGGCTACTCAGTATGGGAAAAGGTTTTCTCTAGGCCGTAATTGCCGATTTCGGTACGTATCAAAACCTGTTGTACCGATTGTGAGACCCGGTGTCAGGAGAAAGATCTATGGTTTTCCAAAGCTGACTGTTGCCACAGTATGTTAGCCCTTCATCCCAAGATATGTAGCCACTGTGGCCTGGACAATCCTGCAAGCTATGTAGTAAGGAGCTAGACTGATGCTTTTTGGTATGACAGTTCAAGGCCCTAAGACGAATCGCTGTAGTGTCCTGAGGCTGAAGGAGGCACTTGCTATAGGCAAAGAACACTGCGAAACCATGTTGAATTACAGGCGTGATGGATCAGCATTCATGAACTTACTTATGATTGCACCCCTCTACGATAACCGTGGCAACATCCGCTACCATCTCGGAGCTCAAGTGGATGTCTCAGGGCTTCTCAAAGAATGTGCTGGTCTAGGATCATCAATATGGGAGCTCATAACACAGAGGCATGCCCAGTCCGACACTTACAGTGGCGATTGTCGTCAGGAAATTGAAGATTCGCGCGCGAGCAAAGACATTCTCGGTGATCTCGCTGAGATGTTCTCCCTCAGCGAATTGAAAATTGTTCAAGGATTAGGCGAAACGGGGCACGACAGGCACAGCGAAAAGACGAATAGTGTTGGCCAGTCCAGCTCAGGCACAGACAGCAAGTTACAAGTCTTTATCAAAGACGAGGCAATGGCCATCGAAGCGCCCATGGCCAACTCCATCTCATCATCTGGACTTACCCCGCTGACCAGTTCCTCACTTACGGAACGCTCCCAGGGCATGATCGAACACTACCTTCTCGTGCGCCCGTTTCCGAGCTTGAGCATCCTTTTCGTGAGCCCCTCGCTACGAGTCCCAGGGATTCTGCAAACACCCTTCATGTCGCGGATTGGAGGGGCGCAGAGCACACGAGATACCATAACGCAAGCCTTCAAGGACGGCAGCGGCGTCACGATCAAGGTGCGATGGCTCACACGTCCCCTCGCAGCCGGACGCAACGCAAATATCACCACCACCACTTTGAGCCCTGACCAGGGGCGGAGCCGCTGGGTACACACGACGCCTCTGTTTGGCGTCGATGGCGCCATCGGCGTGTGGAGTATGTTACCCCTAGAATTGTTTTCTTCCTACTCTAGATCCTCAGGAGGCCATCCTTGTTTGTTAGAGCTACAAGCATGTCTCAGGACATACAACTCCTAAAGCGTGTTCTTCTTTTACCTTGAAAGTAGTTTACTAACTCCAGCGAACCGTAGTGGTCATACTTGTAGACGGCGAGGAGAAGCAGAGGTTGCTGAGCGCTCCGCCTGTCGACCTATGCAATATGGAAAGACGACGGCCATTCGACGTCAACACCGGCACGGAGCATAGATCCACGTCCTGGGCGTCCGATGAAGTGCAGTTTGTGGATGCGGACGGCCTAATTGTGGAACAAGACGACCCTGAGGTCGCGCGCGTACATCGAGCCTGCGAAGTCAAACTGGGCGAGAATGGGCACGAGTCTTTTAATCTCAAGATAACGGAGTCACCATGAGCGCCATTCTTCCATATCCTGCACTACACACCTGAAACCCCCTCCTGAAATGAGTTAAATTCGAAAGGCCTAGAGCAACAAGGCTTATTCTGGCTTACATTCTAGATCCAGCGGGGATACTTTGACAAGACCTCCAAGGAAACAAATGGAAAAGAAACAATACTAGACAGTTTGGGGAATAAATATACGCATCACGTTTCAAAAAACGAAGAGTTAATTTTTGTTTCCCATTAGTCCTATGATAGATCAATTTGCTTTGCTTGAAACCTTGGTCGTGAGATTGTGGGCATGAAAATGGCGCGAGGTGAGGTGAGCGTTGTCAGGGGAGACCAATAACTAGGCAACCTGTGTTGAAAGACTCTCGCTATAACACACGGGATGCTTTTACGAGGAGAGTAGATGAGATATATCGTGTACACTTTAAATCAAACTATTGTTGTTCATATGAGAACTTTGATATACAGCGCCCGCCAAGCACTCCGTCCCGACATCGTTCTTCGTGACGTGGTACCTACAAGTTGTGCCATATCCAGCACAGTTCCCCCGGAAATATATCAGTTGACTGTAGGATAGGTTCGTATATTAGCTTCGTGACTACCAGCTATTGCTCGAACTATACCTGTCCGCCATAGAATGAATCGTCATCGACATCCGATCTAGAAGCTGGTTTCATGACTGATGCTGTGGACAGGCAAGGTCAGGCACTGGTGAGATCATCATGTCGCCCTCAAGGCATGAATATTAATATATAAGTGTCGTTCACGGTCGTCAAAATAACCCGCAATACCGTATTAAGATTGTAATAGAAGCTATCGAAAACCCACTGACATACTGGAAAGGTCACTCGTTGCGGGTGATTTCCTCGGGACAAGGGCACCCCTAGGCTTCTCTATGATCTAGTCCCAGCCTTGAGAATGATAATGCGCGATAATTTTTCATTGTCGCGTCGCTGTTCGTGGGCATTAGCAGATGCTTGGCCATATTACAACTGAGAGTCGTTGGAATTCGTGTTGGGACGACGGCTAGCCTGCTGGTAATCTCAAATTACATCCGCACTGGTATGATTTGTAAATTGCTTGGCCTACATGTTGTCGGATTTTCAGCCGGTACGAAGGGCCAGTCTCCACTGAAGCTGCAGAGACCTTTTTCTTGCTCGCGTTGAAGATGCCACGGTAATGACCTACATATCTCCAGTGTAGGACTTGACACACGCCGTATACGACGCCAACCGCTGTTGTTTCTTTGAAACGACTAAAGTTCCATCACTATGCAGCTTTCCTTCCGTCGAATGCAACGAGCAGATCTCGAGACGATCCTTGATCAATGCGAACATTGAATTCATTCTCCTTACGCTGGACCGCAATCCAGAGGCTTTCTAGGCATTCGTGGGAGCCCTTTGTCCTACCTGAAGATTATAGGAGTACTTCCTGCTGTAGATGTTCGATGATATCGCTAATGGTTCGCTCGTAGGTGGGTATGTAATAATGATACCTTAATTTCGCTATCGATCATCGAAACCGAGCTCTACGCTCTCGGGCTGAAGGCATACCATGGTAGCTTCCATGATTGATCATGATATTACGCTTAAATAACAATATGATAGAACGATGACATCCCTTTATATTACTTTTCTAACGAGGTGACTAAATATAACTAACTACTCAACCTCACAAAGAGTTAGTGGCTTGAAATGAGAACTTGTGATATCTTTTACTAGATTATACAGAAAAGTACATTCTGTATCTGTGTAATCAAAAGTTAATACGTTGATTTGTGAGCTATGATTATCTACTTGATATGTCCCAGTGAACTGAAAGGAGCTTTCTTGATCCTATGCTCATCGAATAACTGTCGCAGTGTGCAAAGTGCTCCGAGCAGCCCAATAATTATCAGATAACAAAGCCTGGAGTTACGAACTCGTATGTTCTGTCGCGCCTATTGTGAATTGATCACCGAGAGTGCTTAACGTGCAAGTGATATGTTGGTACTTTCGGAGGTATCAACTGCTTATTGGTATTGACACTCTGGTTTCACCCCATACAAGACGAAGTGCCGCCCAATCTCGCGACTTAACCAGGTCACAAGGCTCGATTCTAGTGGCGAGGTAAGTCTAGATCGTCACTCTGTTCACACACATCTATACCCCGATGCAGTCACTTGATGCCGATGTGTGATATCTGTGATTCGTGCTTATCTATCTGCATCCTTCGGCACCTCGACGCTAGTTCGTCCCATCACCACACCAACGAGCCGGTGAGATTCTAGATTCGCCGACCATCTTAAGTCAATCCTCGCCCTGAGTTGAGCTGCTTGGTCGGCTCTACGACGTAATAGGTTTTATACACGCTAGATCAACTACATATGGTAGATTTTACACATCCAGTGCCTAATTCGTGACAAGTGATAGTAGCTAACAGCACCTAGACCTTCGAGATCAATGTTCAACGCGTCATAATGGATCTTTTGCTACCCATTTCCAGAAAAGAAGAGAGATCGGCAGCGAAGTAGACGAGTCGTGGCTAGTCTCTCTCCCAACCTTAGCCCCAACTTCAGGAAAGGAGACGAGACTGCCTAAACGGAGGTCTCCAAGGGAAGATCCACAATGCAAGGCGTTGCAATGTGCATTCGCCAGGCTTGTCGCCGAAGCTCTCGACAGGCGCATAAGGAGGGCAGCATACCTAGGCGAGGGGGGAGGCGACACGTGGAGTTGTAGGTTAAGACGTTTGTCGGCGTTGAGGGCGCAGTGCAGCCACACACGCATACACGGCAAATGAAGCGAAGAATCACAAAAAGGGTCTCGCATCCCATGCAATCGGTCAAATCATATCGTGGTTATTCTTCCATGCCCATTTATTCCCCGTCCTATCGCTAACAAGGGGGATGTGGAGAGGAGAGGATTAGCGAACGAGGAAAATGCTGGTTGACCACGCGGTCATCGTCCAATATTTCCCTCGTGGCGCCGAAACAACCGCGAAAGCCTACGTACATTGCGGCGCTTACTTCCCTCATTGAGTCACCGGAAGCAAGACATTTGGATCACCTAGGTAGGTAGGTAGGTCGACAGCCAGCTAGCTCAAACTGAGTTGAGGCTATAGGACCTACATGTACGTATGTATGTACTCTATGTAAATGTGTCTCGCTTCTCTTCCCCATATTTATGGAGCAAGTGGAAGGAGTAGAAAACTACGGGAAGGATGAATAACCATCAAGAAGGATAGAAATGGGGTCATCTTTGGCGGAAATTTGTCAATGAGGGGAGAGACATGTTCTAGAAGAACGGAATTGCACCGCCGTGCCGTAGTCTATCTCCATATCCGCGGCGAGGCTCTCCGTCTCTCTTTTCTCTCGTTCGCTGGCCGATCATGACGAAGGAAGGAAGGTAGAGAGGTGGGAACTGGAAACGGTGAGGCGGTTTTCTCTCTGCACAGGTCTCCGATGCTACCGACTTACTCATTCACTTACACCCCCTACTTACACATGCAAACAAGGGTCCGGGAATAGCTACTTTTGTGGAGGGCCAGTAGGTGAGGTAGATAGGTAGGTAGGTATGTACATAGTAGGTAAGTAGGCTGTTCCAAGCCATCAGACGGGCATAGGGATCGTCCGGCGCGAATACCAACCCACTCACCGGTCTCAACATCTTACAGCGTCGCACCGAGACCCCGGAGATGATTCCGAAACCCAGAAACCCCCACAAGAGGATGTACCAAAAGTAAGGACAGAAAGGCTTATACCCTTGAATTGAAAAAAGTATGGGGATGATGTGAAAGAAAAGTCCCGGACAGTCTTACCGCGTATCCAAGATCTCGACATTCCAAATGTTTCTTGTTTTCGCGGCATCGCGCAGCATGCAGCAGGGTGGGTGTGAACATGTGGTTTATAGTAGTACGCATATGTTACGTGCATTTCGAATAGCAAAGGGGGTGGTGCGTATTGTTGTTGTTATTGTTATTGTTATTGTTGCAGTGGTGGTGGTGGGTAGATAATTGTGCGTGTCGGTGTAACCAACTAACTGCTTGACAGGAAGAAAAGAAAAACAAGACGTGTGTACCGTTACCGTACAATTGAGAAATCGACGAATAAACAAACAGTTAGCAGACAGACACAGCAGTTCTTCTTACACACCCCCTCTACTGTATTCTTTTGCAGTTGAGATTTTGTGTCTCTCTTCCTTCGCGCTCGGCGCCGGCCTGTTCGCCTTGCCGGTAATTAAAGAAAAGGGGATCCCATATGTAGTGTTGATCCTCGGTCTCCGGACAACGTGGTCTGCTGGGGTGGAGGTGGAGTTGGAGGGGGAAAAGGGTAGTGTAAGTGAACTCTCCGTTGCCTCAACCAAGACTAGGCGACAGTAGACCGACAAAGCAAAAGGGAACATTGAGACACGGACTTTCCTCCATGTGGCATCTGTACATAACACCCACTGCAGTAGTCTACGACATTTCGCTGTGTTGGCGCCGGCCGGACCATGCCCACCGTTTTGGCGCGTTTCCTGGCACATGGTTCTTGTTCGCCGTTGGGTCCAGAATCCGAAATTCGCCTTACTAGTATGCCTTGCAGCGGATTCGACATACAGACGCTATGCCGTATCGTAGGCCGAAATGTCTTCAAATCGGACCTCGGAGGCTTTCGCAACATCGCTGGCCCATTCATATTATTCATATTATTCTCGTGTATACAGAAATTGGCCAATGCGAAGCGGTTTATTTCTGGATGCAGCAAACAGTAATACCAGCAAGTCATCAACAGTCTACATAGCATTGTACCGTAGGTGAGTACAGCGATAGTTTGTTAATGCCGTAGGATTGTGGGTTATCCACGCCCGAATGTCGCGTGACAGCGATGGCATGGCTATCTGCTATCTTATAGTCTTACTTCCTAGCTACGAGAATGATATGATTTGCTGCTCTACTATGTAAGCATATATCGTATTGGCATGAGCACCCGCACCTGTCCGGGGGGGCGGCGGTCAGAGCTGGCCGGGAGGGTGCTGGCGGCCTTTGGTGGGATTACCGGCAGTTTTTGGCTTAGATGCGACAAGTGCCAGACGAGCCCGACGAGTTAGGA